CTAAAAATGACCATTTGCTCAATAGAAATATTATCGCCTCTGTATAATTAAAATCAGCGTCGTGAACAGCCGTACAGAGTAACAATTCAAATTAAGAATAAGCTTTCCATCTGTTTGCACAAGTTAGTAGCTAAGTTACCCAACGCTAACGGTCAGTCTGAAGAAACGGTTTGTAAATGACGTTCGACTAAACACTCCACTGCCTTTACGGTTTCACGAAACAGAAATGTTCAATAAGAGAAAAGCAAATGATTTTAGCCGTACATTGACATGGTTTGAAATGCAAAATGAGTTTCATTATTCTAGGTACCTAAAATGCGATCCTGATCTTAGTCAATGTGCTATTTATTCTGGACAGGTAATGTTGACAGCTTGGAGAAGACTATAGAACCTGGTGTTTTGCTTCTGTCCCATTATTGCGGTGTTCAGATTTTCAGGAGGATAAAGTATGTTTACCTCTCCGAGATTTCAGCCAATCGTCTGTCGAACATGAATCTGAAGTACTACCGAATGAGCCATCCCGATGATCACCGAATAGATGAGCAATAATGATGGTTATTTTCTGGCTAAATACGAATAGCGACGAATGTGACCATCGATTACGAACTATGATGCAAGAATTATTCACTAAAATGTTCCAAGCCTTAATCTTCCTACTGGTGATTGGCCTAATCCCAATTCCCTTCGATTTTTTGATACCATCGAGCAGTTACTGTCCAGAGGTTTCGTTTATTTTGGCAACCAGTGCTTTTTTTAATGTTCTCGAGGAAGACCACGTGACAGAGAGATTTCAAAATTCCTTCTATGGGAGTTACTACGAACGGTGACTGGCAATTTGTTTTTATCCAGGTTTGCTGTAGAAAGTATAGGCTTAAAAATGAAAAAATTTGTCAGCCGCAATAAACTGAGTATAGACGTTAATAGAGGAATTAAAACAAGCGATGAGTAGGTAGCACAAATATCTATTCAAAGCGGAGGTGTAATCCCGTTTTTTTCATAGGCATGTATGAAAGCTGTTTAATTCAGTACTGTTACATAATTAATTCATTGCAGAAACTAGATACTATAGTTCAACTATACTCCCATCGTGCCGAACACAGAAGTGTACCAGCAAATCAGTATGTACATCAAACTGCATAATAAATTTTAACAACCCTAACCCAATATATTTGCATATATGTACTGTTGCTGTCACTTAAAGCCTTAGATCCAATTACATAAATAGGAACATATTAAAGAATAAGTGCTATGAGCGCAATGGGAATGACTAAGCTGTAACTAAATAATCTGGCAGTAACAATATATGATCAATATAGCACCGTTCTAAGGGATAGTTTTACCCGAAAGATATTGAACGATGAAGTTATGTGCCCAATTAAGCGTGAAAAAAACGATAAAAATAGATTAACCTTCCATACATGTCCAGTTAATCTGGCCTAGTTAAAGATACATACGAAAGATAACTAATGACATATTAGACTTCAAATGTTTCTCCTCAATTAACATGGATTTGTACATCAAAAGTCGCATTCTAAGGTGTACCTGAATATGCACGATCAAAGCTTGGTGTTGAAAACAGGGGATGTTCAGAGAGCCAAGGATTAATCACAGTCGTCATGGTCAAATCAGAAACCTTGATCACATACAATTGCCTAATGATCTTCCTCAGTAATATGTGTGGGCGCATTGATTAAAGAAAATCAAAGAGTTAATGTTTTAATAAGCACCTTCGTTCCCCTTTCGACCGAAAAATATCTGAATTGAAGTACAATGGATAGTTCGCTTTTATTGGTATTAGTTAAAGGGTGAAACAATCAGAAGCTTTATATGAACTTCTATCTCAAAATATTCTGACATTATCATGAATTTTATTGTACCATTCCTGATGAAAGACAGCAACGATTAACCAAAATATCATTCTCGTAACTTTATTGAAGAAAGCTTTATCGTAAGGCGTAATATATGTCCCTTTAATAATATCACTCTGCAGCCTGGATCACCCTTGACGAAGGTGGCTGCGCCTGAATTTTGCTTAAAATAGTGAAACAACATGTGTAGTACTAATAACGAAATAAAATCACTACCCACGGAGGCGAAAGAATATTCATGCGCTTCTGAGTTAACCTATTTGCTCACGTTTTTAACCATAGTCTTTCTAGCTGTGTTCTTACAACAGCACGCCATGAAAAATTCTTTCTTGGCGTTCCCGTGGCGGAGAGTGGACAGTAACGAAAGTAGGACGTAAAGTGACTGGGCAAAGTATACAAAAGTGCATTGTCCATCCCCACAGCAGAAGCAGTGTTGGCTCATTATTATCCCAGTCTGCAAAAGAAACTGTGATAGTCGGAGTTGGCAGTTTGCTGTTTCTAAGCTAGCTTCGTTTAGAAAGACACCACTATTGCAAGTCGGAACAGACCGTACAATGGCATGCTTCATGGCTATTTACTTTAGGAACGAGTCGCAGAACGTGACGATGCTGAATGAGTGATGATAAGAGGATGGAAAAATAATAGAACCTCACTTGTCACTTGCATAACTCAGTCAAATGCCGTTTCCACAGCTTATAAATTATGCTACCATCCTCTTGAATGGAGGATGGTAGCTGACGTTGTCATGAAAGTGGTGGGCATCGCCTGCAACACGTATGGAATATGCGATATTTCACAGTGAAATTAGCATCGAGGTAATCTTGGCCATCACCACTGTCTGGTAGTGGCCATCACCCTTACCAGCATGAACACAGACATTTATCATGGAAACTAATCATGTTCTCGGTACCTTAGTAGCCGAGCTGGACGGCTGGCCTTCTGCTTCTTCAGTTGGCGGCTCCAGGGCCAGAAAATTCGACGGTACTAAGCCAAACGTGCCGTTCAGTTCCCCGATGTAGAAACCGTCGTCGTCCATCTCTCCGTAAACCGTTATGACGTCACCGGCTTGAAACGTCAACTCTTCCTGTTCCGCATCGACATTCGGCGAAGACTCCTTCGGGTCGTAGTCAAACTTCGCCACCAATCGTTTGGTGGGTCCGAGGCGAACAGCTTCTCGAATGCTCTGAACGAGGTTGTCTCTGTCGCCCACTCTTCCTATGAGCATAGCTGAATACAAGAAGCGATCATCGCTCCGAGCGCGTCATGCTTACTTCTGCTGCCAGCGGATTCGTCATCCGCAGCGGACAACTGCTTCCTTCGGTGGGCATAAATAATTTCGCGGTCTTCTACCGGATAACCGTCGTACGGTTTAACCTCTGGGCCGTACAGTTCGGAGGGATGATAGGCCGAAATTAAGTGCCTAAAG